ATATATATATATATATTGTTTTAAGGAGTCACAAACCATTAAGGACAGTCCAAGTCTTAATACTCATCCTGCAGTAAATTATATAATTTGTTTAGTTTCTTGGGGCCAAAAATGTTTTATTTTTCTTACAGTAATGCCAGTAACTAATATTACATTAGTCACTCAGTAATTTAGAACACCTGTCTCCATCCAATCCTCGCTGTCTTGCATCTACAGCCACCAGGGAGCTGTTCTGTCCCTTTACGACCTGTCTGCTTCGCCTGTTCAATACGCTACATGTCGGAGCAGCTGTAAATGGCCTTTTTGGGACACTTCTCTCGGCACCGGAGAGCTTTTACAGGACACAATGGCCGGTGTGGATTTGTTATGTGTTACTACATGTCTGTATGGGCTTTCAGAGAGAGTATGTGGTCTGAATGATGTCTGGAAGCTTTTGATGTCCGTGAAAGTGGGATTTGAGTGTGCTTGGACATACGCCTGTAAGTGTTTTAGGGTCATTTAGGTTTTTTATTTTCAAAGCATGTGGAGTCCAATATGAAAAGGAAAAAGTCCAATTGTGCCTTGATTTAAGTCATTTAGATGTGTAATGGACCTGATCTGTGTGTGTCACTACAGTATAATGCATTCCTCCCGCTTTTGGCCTTTTTTTGTTTTGGAAAACAAATAATTAATTAACATTAAGCTCAATGTACAACATAAGGAGGAATCTAAAGCTTGACAGACCTCCTGTGCCTGGTTACGGTTGGTGAGCTAGGATGTAGCAGTGATATGAAAGAACAGAATTGGATTCTGGGAAATTATTGTGTGTTTTGGGCAACTCTTTCAGACAAAGTATGTATTTGCTGTGTGATTTTGTTTTATCTATAAGGATGTTGCTGTTAAATCAAGTAAAGTAAGTAAGTAACAGTAAAAGTCACAGTGGCCCACTTAACATTTCCTCCCAGTGTAAAAGCATATGGTACACGGTAGAAAGAGATACTTACACCAGAGAGGAATTGTCGGTATGAAGAAGATGAGAAAAGTAATTTTGAATTTGATTTTTATTGAGGAATGATTTGTTAGCTGCAACGTAAGACCATGCAAATGTTTTCCACTCGGCTATGCCAAGTTAGTGTCATAAAGCACCAATTTATCTCAGATGCACACACTCTCTGACCTTCTTCCTCCTTCCTCTCTCCCTCGGCATTATGGGAGCGGGCAGTTTAAAAACAGAGGTATTTACGACTCAGCACTCTCCTCTAGAGTTCCTGGAGCTCCACAAACATGTGGGGACTGGCAGTGTGACACCACCAGCTCAGTTTAAAGATAGACAGGTTGGCTATCTGGCTATTTTGTATCAGGGTCCATCTGTGTGTCTGCACACCTGCCTGTCTATCTGTCTGTCTATCTTGTGCAGTTAAGGCAGGGCTGAACATCTTCCAAAAGACTGTAAAACTTACTCAGCATATGTAAAACTCTGGGACACAATGATGTAAGACAGAAAATTACACAATATCTTTTTTCTCTAGAATTGGATGGTGTACGCTTATGTTACTTAGTTTTTGCACCTGTGCCCTCCCTTATAAGATAGTGTTAACGTGATTCCTTCTGCAGTGGTGGAATAAGTATTTAGATCCTTTAATTACATAAAAGTAACAGTAAAACAATGTGAAAATTAGGAATGAGCACCATCATCTGTATCTGTTCAATCAACTAAATTATCTTTATTTGTGTCTTGAAATAGGCAGTGCTTAAACTGTAAGTGGGCATGACTAACAGGAAGTTGTTAATTTAAGCCTGATATTGATACAGGTCAATCAGAAGTTGCTATTTTTATTAGAAAATTATTTACAGAACAGCCTCAGCCTTTACGAGACACATTTTACTCGTACTGGTAAGAAGTACTTGCTAACTGATACTCGTTTCAGCCGAGTACTCGCTCAACCCTACTGAAAATAACCGAAATGTTGCTCATTTAAATACATGCATATTCTATTGGGTAGTTTAATCTGTAAAATGTTTTAAAATAGTAAGATTTCATGAAAGGATCATATTTTGTAAATGTTTCATTTTAATCTGCAGAGTAAATAACTAGAACTGTCAAATAATAGAGGTGAATTACAGTATAAAGGATAATATTTGTCTGTATAATGTAGGCCTACTAAAGCAGAAGTATGAAATAACAAAATGGTAATACTAAGATTATTAAATGTACTTTCCACAACTGTCCTCTTGTATTTTATTCATTTTTACATTACATTTATGGTTAGGGCTGATTGTTATCTGATGTTATCTCAAGTTTAAAACTTTTACTTTAAAACTAAAAGAATCTGTCACCATCTACTGGTCAAAACGAGTAATCAGTCAACTTTGGGCAACAGGTGAAAACAATGCAGTGATGACTGAAAAACATCAGCTCCTCCTGTTTAAATGAGAGCAGTGTGGGCTCACCTGAACTCTACAGAGTTGAACTGGCGAGATTAATGCAGGACCTGCAGCTTTTTTGTCAGACATGGCAGACAGATCTTTATTTCTGAGAGAAGGAGGTCATACAGGAGGTCATATCCCATCCGGTCGACAGCTCCACAGGACTCCTCCTTTGCCGGATGTAAAGAGACACCTGGATTTTTCTGATGATGATCCCAGTGAGAATATGGAGGTACATGCAGAGATTGTGCTGTTGATCAAGCTTCGTCTCATTGGCATGATATGTAATCCTGTCCTCTTCACCACTTTATCAACAGGCAGGTACTAGAGATGAAGCTAATGACCAAAACAGGACGTTTGATTTCAACACTCTTCAGACAAAAACAGGTTCAGTCTGCGTTTAAGATCCCAGGGAATGAAAACATTCTTGGAAACATAAATTTTATTTAATTAGATCTCAAGTGTTAATTTTGGGGGTTTTTTTTGTATCTGAAAACATGTCAGAACCAGATGACTCAAACTCCATGCTGAAAGGGATGACTGGGTATGAACCGACAAAAAGTGACTTGGAGTTTATTGAAAAGATGAAACAAGAGAAACTTCTTAGAAAACTGCAGGTAATTTGGGCTCTTTTTACTGACTGCTGCTGTTTGATTACAATCATGTTCTTTACTTTCAGTGTGCTGATGGAATTGGTTGTTCTGTTTTCTGTCCTCAGAGAGACCTGGAAGAGGTGCAGAGGTTGTTAAAGAAGGAAACAATGGCTGCAGACCTGGCGTGTGCTTCCCTGGGGAAAGCTCAGGCTGAACTCAAAAAGGTGGGTCTAATTCTCTTTTGTGTATCCTTGTAGTTGTATACACTAGCGAATACTCAGGCACATCTGACCTTTTTTATCGTTATAATAACTCTTTTTGAAGGTTCAAGCCTGTGGCTGGTGCAGGCATTTTTATAAGCATTTTATATTACCCCTGAAATAGCATTATTCTTCAAAAAAATGTATTTCCTTTCAAGATCAACGATGGCATAAATGTGAAGTTAAAGATGATGGATCCTTTAAGGTCCTTCCTCTGGCATTTACAGTCTGTTAGATAACAGTGGAAATTCACAAAAAATGTGAGGCAGATTAAAATGCAGTTGAGAAGAAGCTCAAAATTATCCTGATTAATCTGTTTTTCTCTCAGTTCCCATCCTGTGAAGAACTCACTGAGTGGGTGAAGGTGGTCCTCCAAATGACATCGCCTTCGGCCGAGTTAACAGACCTGGACGCCAAGTCTCTCCTGGCCATGGTGACCAAAGAAAACATCCAAAGAGCCATAAAAGAGAAGATGATTGATATTACACGGCTGGAGAAGATGGTGGCAAACAAGTAAGCTGTGTGCCCTTATCTTGAGTCACGGTCAATGTCTGTTTATTTTTTTCTGCCTTCCAGTTGGTGATTGGTTTCTATTCCATACAGTAGGAAAAAAACAATGGAGACTAAAAACTGGCTTAAAGTAATAGGTTGATGTTCCTAGCATCAGTTGTACCAGTACTGGGGAGTATTTCTTCAAACCATCTGGCACAGTCAGGTTACAAAAAGAGGGGGAACACAGGGTAAACGGAGTGAAAAAAATGTTGTGGTTTCCAGTCTTTGTGCTAAGCTAACCGGTTGCTGGTGGTAGCTGTGTATTAACGTACAGACATGAATGACTTGTCTAACTCTGAGCAAATAATTTCACAGTGTCAAACTATTTATTCATCCATTCAAGGTCCAGTGTGTAACATTGAGGAAAAATATAATATTCATAACTACTGTATGTTTTCATTCCCTTTTTCATAATCCCCTGAAAATAAGAATCATTAGGCTCGTTCAAAATGAGCGAGGCCAGGCCGGTTAGATTTGTGTCTGACTTGCTGATGACACAAGATCGAGGCAGTCGCTCTCCATCGCCTGCAAGACCCAGGGCATGATGGGAAACGCCTGGCTGTTGTATCATCCTTTTAAGATACTGAAGATCCTTGTGAAGAATTCCTTTTTTATGAAATTGGTCTTAAAATACCACACTACCAAGCAAATATAGGTGTGGAGCCTATGATTTTGTGTCATTGTGACATTTAATATACAGTAAAATACTAACAGATTCCTCGAAAAACATAGGAGGAAGAAAGAGTCGAAGGAGAGAGAGCAGCTTGAAAAACAAATGTCCAGTCAACAGGTAAGAGAGGCTCCAGCTTGTACAACATTTTATTATTGTTAGGTGATTTTTGACTATTTCTATCTGCTTTCAGCTGAAGATACGGGAGTTAATGAGCCAGTTAACTGACCTGAAATCTGAACTTGAACAAATAGAGGTGAGAATCTGATTTTATCTTGTATTATACCCCTTAATTTTTGTTTTCACACTTTTTGGTTTCACACTGAATGGGGCAAAAACAATGTTGCATCTAGTAACTGAAGGCTTTTAAGGATTTACTGTACTATTAAAGAGGAAAAATAATGTGGTTTTCTAGGAAGCTTATAAAGAGATGCTGATCAACACCCAAGAAGCACCAGAAAACAACGTGGAAGCAGATACCTCAGAGGAACTACAAGCAACTCGCAGCCAAGCTCAACCTCGAGGAAAGGGGAGAAAAAAAGCTGTAGTATTTAGTGAAAAGGTGCAAGACGTAGCAAAAAGTGAATCAACAAAGACAAATGTGAAAGGTGATCATGCAAAGAAAAACACAAGTGAAACTCTGAAGACAAAACAAAAGTCTGGTGCTGCAGCAGAGAAGCCAGCAAAGTCAGTTAAAGCAGCCAGAGAGCCACAGAAGAAAGTGGCGGAGACAGAATCAAATCCACAAGAGTCTGTACAAGCTGTGAGAGGCCGACGAAAGCCTCCTGGAGCCACTCAGGCCGCAGCTTCACAACCGAAAAATCGAAGTTCAGTGAGAACTGGGGAGGCTCAGTCCACGTCGCAGCAGGCTGCTCCGTCACGCAGAGGACAGAAAGCTGCTGTGGCTGCAGATGATGCTGGAGAGGAGGCACAAAACGCTAGTCTGAGGAGATCCAAGAGGATTGCCAACAGGAGGTGACTGTTTTTGGCTCTATGGATGTTTCAGTCCACCACTTTGCTCCTCGCACCACCATGAGGTTGACGTTTGTGGTTTTCAACAAAATGTCTCATTAACTGCTGACTCAGAGTCGCTAACATGGCCACTACTTGTAAATGTGTGTATAATTTGAATGGTGGTCAGTCATTCTGGAGAAGATGGCTGAATCGCAATCAAATCTGTATTTCATCTGGGAATAAGACTCAATTAGCTATTTTTCTCCAAAATAACTGACAACACCTTGACAATCTACAGTGTATTGCCTGTTTTTATTTTTACTATGAAAATAAAGGAACCTTAACAAGAGATTCACATCATAAATGAGTGTTCATTGGCGCTCTGAAGCTGAACCGTTTCCATTAAGGTAAACAAAGTCTACATGTGACCATTTTAAATACAATCTTTGCTGTGACGAGAATTTGTTTCCCAAAGAGTTTAAATAATGTAAAACTTGATTGTGGGGAAGATCTATCAGCCTGTAGGGAGCTCAAAGGTCAGTCAGTAGCAGCATTGGAGCTTGTCAGCGCCGCAGCCTAATGAAGCCCAAACCCTCATGACAAACTCGACTTAAATGTGATGTTTAATTTGTGGTTAAAGGAATTACACTCTTCCATGCTATTTTTACTGATTGACTCCTCGAGGACATGACACGAATCACTCTGGAACTCCCACATTTTTGTTGATTTTTCTGTAGATTATTAAAGAAAATCTAATCATAGATTGTATTTAACACTATGCTTTCAAATGCTTTGTCTATGAGAAATGTTTCCGAAGCTAAAATCCAATTTCTGCCGGAGCCAACAGAAATTTTATCACACCTCATCTCTCTTGTTCATCGTCACCGCTGGGAATGAGTCACAAGCGCTGCTGATCCACTGCAATTTCTCTCAAGTAGTTCTTGGACGACTCAGCGGCAATTTGGGCGTAACATTGTTAATCATACATTAACTCCCAATCAATCGGTCTGAGGAGTCTGGGAGGGGGGAGAACGGAAAAACACCCCACATTTGCTGTCTGTGAGTCTGCAGTGGGAAAAATGTGTGCTGACAGTTGGAATGTTTCATAGCACCTTCTTAAATTACAAATTAAGTTTGAACTGACGGTCAGATTTGTCTGGCATTTTCCAGGATTTGTTTCACAAACAGCCGTAGTCCTGACAACTGGAGTAACATCTATCTTAAGTTCCACAATGTTTTTCCACCTTGGGTCTTGATCCTTGACTTTTTCCTGCAATCTGGGAGGCTCATTTTCAGTCTGACTGTAATCCCCAGAACCTGATGAGGGATTTCCTTTTCCTCCCCCCCCACACACACAACTATGCGTGCGCGTGCACACACACACTCCTGATGATTGAGATATTTGTCTGATGGTCAAGCACGATGACCCGGCCAGGACCAAAGTAATACAAACACAGGGCGGGAATCGTGGATTCATATCCTGCCACTAAGTTTAATAGACTAATATCAATAAAGTCAAATCGCCTCTACTGCTAACTTATTGTGAGCAATGAGTTTACTCTAGGATGGGTTTAGTTTTGGCTGCAGAGAGTTAATCTCTCCTTTTTTTTGTTCCTTATTATTCCTGTTTTCTTCTCTGTGGCTCAGTTTCTCTGCTTGTGTTTGCCAAACCTGGAACCCTGAACTGCTTTTCAGAATCGAGGCATGGGAACGTTCCCTCAAACACGTCAATTTCAGAAATCAGATCTTGTTTACGGAAGGAGTCCAAGCAGACAGCCGGGATCCTGGCCCAAAGAATTGTGGGTCATGGATTATATACAAATTGCTCATGTCTTTCGCCTTGCGGCTGGATAAACTTCCCTCTGTATTCAGGCACTTATGAAATGTCTTCTCAACATTATTCCTATTTACAAAATAGTTGTATTGTATCAGTGGTTTCATTATGTTATTGCACAGTTGAGTATATTAAAGGCAATACATAGAAAAGGTCTGTAATACCTTTATAATCTATACATTTTAGTGCTACAATGTGCAAGAACAGAATATAATTGATGGTACTTTTACAGCATGCTACTTTTTGTACCAATAATACTTTTCCATGGATGCATTTAGTGTCTGCCACCACTAGGGGGCAGTGCTATGGACCATAACCCCCTGCTGCACACCATTACTCAGTCTTTTTTTTACTCTTTTACCCTTTCCATTTATAAATATTTAAGTACATTTTGCAATATCTGACGCTTCTGATGAGTCAAACGAGATGAAGTGGCGATAATGTTGCATTTTTAAGATGTTTCAGAAAGCAGATGCTCACAGGGCACAGTGCTGTAGATGCTCAGATAAATGTGACTTTTGAACACCTTGTGTTGTGTTGAATGTGCATGACTCAAATTCAGATTTTTGCACACAAAATGTATCAAGTTCTTATGAAATACTGTTGTAAAGGTAAATGACCCATGTAGACATAAAAGTAAATATATTTTTAAGGCAAAAACACATTGTTCCAGCTTCTAATTTTGAGGTTCGGATAAGCATTATGCAGGTGTCACTGGTTAGCTGGGACTGCATTTCTCACTATTTTATCAACTTTTACGAAGTAATCAATCTATACTATTGATAAAATAATCAGCAAAATGAATCCATAGAGAAAATAATTTGTCGCAGTTTAAAATGAGCTCCACCTCAACCAATTACATTCGTAAAATCCTGCTTTAATATTAATGCATGAGTCAAAATAATCTAATCTTAAGTAAGATTTTAATTGTGGGACTTCCTCTACTACAAGAATTAGTACTTTTACTAAATTAAAGTATCTGAATACCTCCTCTCATAGAGTTTTATTTTTGTATACATTCCTAAACAGTGTGTTTCTGTTTGTTGTGCAGTTGGGCTACGTGTTAGTATGCATCCTCAATGATAGAGATGTGTTTTGATGTAAGATGATGGCCAATGCTTTTGCTATAATACTCACTGGCAATAGTGGAAACAGGTAAATTTTATGGTGTGAGGGGGCAAAACGAACCTGGTATATTAGTGTTTGGGTTGTTTTCCTGCTGATTGAGGGAGAAAGGAACAGTTTAAGAGGCAGTTACGTAAGTTTACCCACACAGAGATATCACATATTCTTGGTCTTGATATTCCCTAAACCAAGAATGATATATGTTTTACAGTACTGTGTGAAGTGGATGGTGGGAATAAGAACCAGGAGAGAAAAACATGTAGCCACATTGTAGTTATTATGCTTTATATTTCACACAGACATGAAAAATGGTAAAAAAAACAAAACAAGGGACCATATGTGTGTTCCAATACAACCTTTAAATGCACATGTTTGCTTTCACCCAATATTTACTCTATACAGAAATCTTATTTTTCTTGGTTTTTGTCCCAAGGCAAATATATATATATCTGGGTATCGGCAGGGTTTATCATAAGACACAAATCTTGCCAAAAAAATAAGGGGTGAAGTATTATTAATGCAAAATAGGGCTAACATCTGTTAAAACACTAGTGTCAAGGTTAGGGGAGCGCCATCCAGCAGCACAACGTCTTTGGTATGACAAAATTGTTCAGTTTCAGACTCTTTTTGCGCGCCGTCCTGAATCATCTGTCGTCCCCTGTAACGCTTCTCTGTTTAGCTTGGACGCCATCGCAGGACGGTCCCCAATCCTCTGCCAAAGAAAACCCTGTAAAAATATATTAGTGAGAGCGAGGACTGAGACCAGAGGAGGTGAGGCCTGTGACACATGTACGAGCAGGCGCGCCAAGTCTAGCAAGGCAGGTTTGCGCTCACTAAATGCAGACAAATCTCAGTGTGGAGGAGAAGTGTGAATCCTGCTGCTCAGTTCTTAGGCCAGTTGCACTAAAAATCTAAACTGAGAGAAAGCTATTCACAAGAGGATACTCCTCTTTGAAGAAGTTTTTGAAGCAGAAAAGATGACCACAGACGCGAACAGGCTTTGGTTTAATCATTAGAGGGAAAGGAAGGAATAATGTGTGACTGCACATTTTTAAGAGTAGAAAGCTATAAATTCCTAATTCATTTGGAGGTCGACAACTTCAAAAGTCTCACAGCAGCTTATTAAATATGTTATAAATTTGTTACAGAATCTGCAAAAAGAGAGCGAAAAGGGCTAAGCTAAAGTCATTTGTTTTGCTCCATTGCGTGGAATCCAGCAGGAAAGGGGAAGACAGGAAGGAAGGGAGTCTTTTAGGTGTTTCGGAAGACAAACTGAATAATAAAATGTCGTAGACTAAACATTTGGACAAAGCCTGCATATGCACAGGCAATTTGTGGACAGTGAACATGTGAACAAGTTCCCAAACACTTTTGTCAAACAAGCATCCACCTCTCTAAACAAGGGTGAAAAAGGCAAGTTCTCCACTGGGAGCAACTTACTGCGTCACCATCAGTTTGTAGGCTCTGTAATGTCTGCAGGCATGACTGAAGTGTTGTCAGTGAGGCAAATGTCTGAGAGAACAAGAAATCTGATGGCTTTTTGTAGCCTGAGAAAGACTTTAAAGTTTAATTTACTCTCTGACTTCTTATTTCTATAAGTATCTTTGGGCATCAAAGCTAAAGGACACAGTCGTCAGCATTATACTGACACATATCACAAATTTCAAAATGCATTTATCTCGGTAACTAGTAATGTAACAAATTCTGTTTTCAAATTAAATAACTTAATTACAGTTACTGAAATTTAAAAGGGTTCATTACTTGATTTTCCGGTTATTTATTAACTAACTACTGTAGCAAAGGTCTGTTAATGTTTACTAACCAGGACAATAAGTGTAGTTTACAGGTGGGAGTATCAACAGCTAGATACATTTGTCTTTGCATGCAGCAACTTTAAAATAATACAGCTGATAGCTGTGTGGATTAATAAGAGAACAGAAGCAGTAATGTATAAGTTACTTTCCCTAGTAACTAATTACTTTTATATGCAGAAAATTATAGAGTAATTCAATTGTTTTTGAGAGAAGTAACTAGTAACTGTAACTACTCTTTTTCAGTTACTTGCCCATTTTTATTCCCACACTCATGTCAGTACAGTAAATATGAAGCTACAGCTAGGAAGTTAGCTTAGCATTACAACTGGGAACAGGGGATAACAGCTAGCGTGGCTCTGACCAAAGGCTTTAGAGGTGATTGTGGGGGCCCATTGGACAGAGCCGGGCTAGCCGTTTCCAGTCTTTGTGCAGCTAAGCTAAAGGTGTAAGAGAGAGGAGACCTTTCATGACCCTCTGTGTCTGTGAATCCATCACATCAGCTTCACTGGTCAAGAACATCTGCGTTTCAACGTCTGTGGTGGTCTGAATAAGGCACATTCTGTAACCTGACATTAGGA